GGTGGTTTTGGCCCATGGCGACTGTGGGACCTGTATGAAGTTCTTCTGTGCGCATAGGACCGGTCCGCGTAGCCTGATTGCAGCCGCCTCCGCCGTAGCCAACAAGCACTGCCCAAGTAGTTTTGGATAGCTTGACAGGACCTTTTGAACCACTTTGAAGGCTTCTCTGGCGTCTACACGGTGGTCTGTGTCTACCATGTGCGCGAGGATCGAGCTGTTGATGTTCCTTTTTGACCCTTTTCTAGCCATGCTGGAAGATCTTCTTTTCTTCTTTTGGATAAACGTCGGCTCGTGCGGCCAATATATTCTGCCCCACAGGAGGAGGTGAAGGAGTAAATACACACAGAGGTGGTCTGAGCTGGTAATTTGTCCTTGCCCTCTCCGTATAGGATGGGACTAGGGGAGAACGGTACACGGGTTTCAGCTGCTGGAAAGGTCTATGATACAGTGTAGGCTAGGCGGCTGCAATCAGACTACGCGGACCGGTCCTATGCGCACAGAAGAACTTCATACAGGTCCCACAGTCGCCATGGGCCAAAACCACCAAACCAGCCACCCGCATATACTTTACTTCGCGGGGACCCATCTTCTCCCTGGCGCTGACTAGAATTGTGGCGTTTCATTCTTCCCCTCCCCTCCCCAACCCCGAGCTACAGCATAATTATCTACTTGCCCGTATATTTTAATTCATTACTGCAATAGTCATATAAAAGTACAGACCTGGAGAGAATTTATCGAAAGCAGACGAATGCTGGCCACATTACCTTTTCAAGAATAAAACCTTGTGTTCCTTTTTAAGTGCCCACCTGATCCTATTTTTTAGATTTCTACCGGATTTTTGGAATCGAAATTATCGTTTCCGTCCTTGTTTCGTACTTAACATCTATTTGTTTAATTTCTCATGTATTTCTGGAGGACTAAAATGAAAGTTTTCGTCATAAATACATATTCAATTCAATTTTTTAAAATTCTGCTAGATTTTCGGGGGCAGACTCCACTCCATATTCCGTGCTGAGGGATAGCCCGGCCAAAGAAATTAACCACTCGGGGAGCGCGCAGGCCGGTGAGGCAGATGGTGAGCAATCATCACGCCAGCATCCAACACGAGTGATGAGTTTTCAACAAGTAACAACTCGCATGCCGACCATCAAGCAATTAGCACACCAGCAGGCAACTACTCCTGATGAAGGGGAGTGCGGTTAATTATTATAGATATGCAGTAGCATGGCGACTGCAGCCCGTAAGTACTGCAACATCCTGTTCACGAATCACCCGTATCTGTTACTGTCTCTGATGATGGGTTTGAGCGCGGATCGAAAACGTCAGGCGAATAGAATTCTTGCTCCAGAGATCGCTTCTACTTCCCATCAACTGGTTCCTGGAATTCGCATCCTTGCTTGTATCGGTAGAAATTAACGTGTTCGTCGTAAATTCCTAGCTAATCCTAATTTATTCGACTTTCGAGGCATTTTATCGAGGACAAATTGCTAACTTTTTCGTCGTAGCTCCCATCCTATTCCTAGTTTGTTTAACTCCCAATATATATTTGAGAGTCAAAATCAATTTTCGATCCTAAGGGATTAATTACTTGCCCTTCTGGGGTTAAACCACGACTTGTCCCAGAATCTGCAAGTACCCGTTGCTGTCGACTGCCTTCCGTCGCGCTGACCACAGTACACAATTTGCACTCTAACCTTGAGAGTGTTCCCTTAGTTCTCGTTGGCCGGTCAGCCCGGGAAAAGTTCACTTTCCATTGTCAACTAGTTTCTGCCAATTCGATGGCATTCGACCCCTGATTGCCTACATTCTCCCCTATTGTCATTTAGCGCTTTCTTTTTAGCACTTTATATGTCGACTTAAGCAACAAGTACTTGTGCTGGCTTTGCATTATTTTCGGTATTACCTTACACATGCTCTTACGCATGTGTGCCACCCGTAAAACCTCTATTAGCACTGTTTCCGCCCTTGACTACCGCGCTCTCACTATCGTTGCGCACTTTAATGTTGCCAATATGAAATATGGGGATAGGGTTAAGGTTGGGCTTAAGGCTGGATTTGGGTTAAAGATTAAGGCGGTGAAAGGGTTTGGGTTGGCGTTGTGGTTATGGTGAAGTGTACCTGCCACATTGCCGCCTTTTCCAATCCAGTCTTCTTTAACAAATAACATTGGATTATCTGTTTACCGTTTGTATGCACGGTTTCCATGCTGCCTTATTTACTTTCCAAGGAAACGAAACGTAAAAAATAATATGATTTGCGGCAAGTTCCATTGGTCGATTTAGAATGCTGGCGAACACGTACTTTTCATATAAGTTCTTACCCGTCCGCGCCGCTTGCATGTAGAGCGTAAACAATGTAGTATCTAACCCGTTGAAGTGTTGCCAAGCGGAGGAGGGAAAATAAAAGTGGGGGAACTTGACGAAACCCACCTAAAAACGTGCGCGTGCTTGTTGAAAAGATTCGCAGCAAGGGAATGGATATCAGATTTATTTTGGCGATATTTACCCGGGAACTTTCCAGGAGTCCGAACAAGTCGCACATTCACGGAACTATAATCACGCTGAAAATAGGGGTCTTCCTACGTATTACCAGACGAAAATGCTTATTTATGCAGTGGTAAACAGTGAGAAAACCGATACTGAACCCACACTTACGACTTGACAACGGCTTCTGAAGCATTTCTTACAGGTTTATTATAAGGCCCCTGGTTAGCAAGAGTGCCCCCGAAACGGGTCACGCGGTGGATGCGCTGGGCCAGTTTAGGGGGGCCATACTTGACTCTGGCAGGCGTTAGCGGCTTTGCACACCGTAACAAATGCCAACATTTTGGGGTGCGGTGGCAGACCCGGTTGCCGGCAGACGCCGCGCGCTCTGGGACCCCTTCCGTCTCCCCGTTATTTTGGTCAAAAGCCTGGTTATTTATTGTTTGCACCAGGGGGGGATGTGGAGTGGAGCGCCAAGGCGCGGGCTCGACCGTGCCATCCACATGCGCATTCCCCCGCCTCCGGTCTTCTTGACTGTCTTGACGCCAGGTCCAGGGGGAGAGGAGGAGAGATTGCGGTAGATGCAGGGCAAGTCTACTATCTCTATAAATTAAATTTTTGCACAAGTCCCCGTCCCTACTATCACCTTGCTGTGGAGCACATGGTGGACATCGTGGAAATCGATGGTCGAACTGTCGGTTAGTAAAAAATCAAATTCGTAGTCAGCGGAAGGGCTCTGATGTGACTGCTGCACTAACTTATCATTTTGTGCATTTTCCGAAATTGTTTATTACCTAAATATGAACCTCGACAGTGAATAAGAGACCTATACTGACAGCCTCTTATCTCGTGCTTAAGTGCTTACCTAAACCGAAGGGCAAAATCTTATGCACAATTATGAAATCCTCGATCAATGCTTGCTCCTGGCTTTATTTCTACGATCTCCTGCAGGAAGACTGACAAAGAAAGTTTGACACAAAATACAGTGCTAGGCAGGGACGAACTATGAAATATGCACCGCTTCTGGCCAAAGGTAAGTCATGATCCGAGCAACTTTCCTTCGTATTTACTTCCCGCTAGGACGCTTTATGTAGTGCCGATCGATAGTTCAGTGTGGCCCCCGTTTTAATGACACTCGTGATGATCTTGGTGTTTTTTGTGTTGTTCTTCCTGATTGTTAGTCAGCTCCTTTCTCCCACCGTTGGCATTAACGACGAGTTGAACTCTCGCAAGTGTTTATTATAACATCCAATGATGGAAACTCTAATAGCGCTTTCGTCTGTTCTAAGTCCCTCATCAGTAACTCAACGGTCCTTCTCTGTGCTATGACGGTAGGGATAATCACCCTTTTAAGACGCCATAATATCGGATAACTGACACCGTGTTAGCAGTTTTCGCTGGCCATTGAATGTACCATTGCTCTCCGGTCACTACTGTTTAACCCATTGAATATGATATTCAAGCCTCATCATGCAAAAGTGGGGTAATTTGTTGGTCATGTCTACCCCAACAGATTCGGCACCACTATTGGACAAAACCGATCACCAAGGGCTCACAACACCCTAACCTCAAAGTGCATAATTGAATTCGGTAACTACTAGACCATGCTGGTTCGCCTGCCCTCTCTGTGACCGGTTCCAATGCGAAGTGTGTGTAGAGGATGGAGATTTCGACGTCATATCAACGGCCACTTACGTAATCTTGCCATCTGCTGCAATTCCATTACTGGACCTGTTCCATCTGCTCAAAAGCATCTACATTTCAACCACCAGTAGTCACCAGTTTCTGACCAACAATAAGAGCCAGCAATCACAATCAAGCCGGTCCCTGCATAATCAACATAAATATGGGACTAAGAGTGTACTCAATAGATTACTCGGACACACTGCACCGCGACCATCACAGTATTCTATCAGTTACTCAAACTGCAAACAGTATCTGGAGAAAGTGGTCCATATCGATCACGACGAACAGCCAACTATGTGAGTTGTATTCCAGTACACCCATTAGGCCATCTCTAACTGTCGTTCAGGAGCGCGTTCTGTTCTGCATCTACTACTTAAGGGCTGCACATTCAGCGACACAACCGGTGAGTCATGATTAGGTTGCCGCAAAATAAAAAATAAGGATTTGAGACTCCAGACAGTTGAGAAATTAAAAAGGCTTTTGGAACTCTATTTATTTGAGCATCGAAAAATACTTCCTAAACTGGCAGCAATTTACACAGTTTGTGTATGTGGGTGTGCACGTGCAGGTCTCTTCACGGCATTAGGTCCCGCCTTTAAGTAGTCAGCTTCGAAAGGCGAGAAGGGGGGAAATAAAAGCAGATCTACTTTTCGCCATCCGCTCAACAGACAGAAAAGCAAGTTGATGTGGGGATCTGAGGTGTGGGAACTTATACGCACCAAATGGCTGACGAAAGAATAGTTAGCAAACCGACGGATTGACGAATGTTCGGTGCAGGTTCGCTCCCTTTCCTCTTCCGTTGTCCATTCACTCCCCTCGAGGTTGTCCCTTTTACATCATCGTATTGGTGGCACCTGGACTTGTCAAAGCCTGTCTCTTTACGGAGTCCTTTAAAAAACGGTTGGATAGACCCTTGGTGACGAGAGCAACTTCAGGGGATGAAATGGCCTCCAGCTTGGCCTCCATCAGCTCGACCATTCGAGTGAACACTAGGTTCATTAGGATGAGACCGAAGAGAATGTAGAGTAGAGAGGCCACGTTAAGGAAGGTCTCGGAGGTGGGCACAATATCGCCCAGGCCGATTGAGGTCATACTTATGAATGAGAAGTAGACGGCATCGAAAGGACTCCATTCGTCGGCTGTAGGGCCAATGCCCCAGCAGTAGATGACACCGCTGAGCGAGAAGTAGCCGACAAGCAGAGCCATGCAAGTTAGAAACTAGAAATAAATAAAAGAAGAATTCAAAAACGGTTAGGTTTTTATGGAGACCGGATTATCTGTAATTTTTCCAGAACCCCGCACACTTGAGGTTTGCCACGGAAATCCCATTCGAGTCCGTCTGGTTCCATAACCAGCTAGTTTTCACACTTTTTGCTCATAACCAGAACACTCAGCCATCTGCGCTTTCGATTTTAGATATGTACGCTCTGCCGCACAGCTATAAAAAACGAGTGCACCACAATGTGAAGTTGTAACACGACGACCATGCCACTGCCCTGACCTCAAATGCTGGGATTAGAAACAGGATAAGTCTGCACCCCTGGGGGTTTGGTCATAGCAGTGGATGTCATGAAGGCTTCTGGCCCATGCCCTATCTGATTTTCCCTACGCCACGTCAGGCAAACCTCCCTCCGTCCGGTGGATGTTAACGTTTATCTACTCCCCCCGATCGTTCGAGTTCAGTTTGACTTCCAGGGCAGTCATGAGTCCTTTTCGGGAGAGTCCGAGACTTGATGGTAACTCTCGTGGGGCTTGGCTCACCTATCGAAAGGTTGCACTAGGATGAAGTCGTCTCAATATGCAGACAGCAAAGCTAGAGTCAGAGATAGGGACCGGCCGTCAAGTAGGAACAGGCGGTAAGCAAGCTGTCCCAGAAATAGCACGATCGTATCTCCCTCTGCACAGTACATTATGAAAGCTATCATATTCCTGCGCAAAAGTTCACTTGGACTACGAAACCGGCATTCGCATTTCGAAATACACATCCGCCACATATCTAGAAATAGCATTGATAACACACCGGAAGTGGAAAGGACCTGAGGTCTTTCGGCTTCAAACGCTATGGAAAGATGTTTTTACGTCTATACCAAATTACTTCATTTAGTGGGCACATTAAAATTAAAAGCAAATTTATATTTTTCAATCAGTCGACTGCATAAGGATATTCTACAATTATGACAACCTGAACTTGTCCGGTTTTTAATCCAATTCTGATGCCAATGAGAAATAAGACTGTCTTGGTAACTTGACCCAACCATATAGAAAATTGCTACATTTGCACATCCCACTGGTTTTGTTAATCTGGAAAACAACAGCAATTTCTTTATTTACGTATTCTTCTTTGCCTGCGGCATACGTACAACTGCCAGTGAAAGTAGAAATAAATGTTTACAAATTTCCCATTATTTATCTTTCAGGGGTTCGCCGTTTGATTTGAACGGCTTAACTGAAATAGTTTTTGCTCATGCAGTCGTTTCCCAATTACAAGAATACTTCGAGCATCTATTGATTTTTCATCAGCATTCACGTCCCCTGTGTACTCTCGATACCCTTTTGTTTGAATGCCTAACAGATCCGTTAACAACCAAAGTAATCAACTAATACCGCAACCTCTACATAGTGAACAACTTTCTTCTCAGTACATATTCATCAACAGATGTTTTGGCGTTAATCAACAATCATAATAATTCCATTTGGACAGCTTTTGTTCTCCAGATGGGATCACCAGAACGGATAATTAAACTAGATAATCAAATGTTATGCTTTGCGAAGGATAGCTAGTGAAGTAAAAAACAGAACATGGCAATGTGACTTACAGAAAAATCGAAAGTTGTGTCCGCTCTCGAGTAAGCATCCCTCAGACCAACAGGAATGCCACTAGATTCCAGAGTCATCAAATTGATGGCCTTGAGGAATCTGACGATAATCTTTGAAATTCGCGAGAACACAAGAGTGCAGAGAGGGATCGCTAGGAGGCAGTAGCCGATAGTCAGGACGCGGCCGATTGTTGTGTGAGGACAGACATTCCCGTATCCTAAGTAAAAGCAAGTAACCAAATTTGGTAGTGACTCATTGAAAAATGCGAGGCTGCCTATGCCGGCAGGGGGCACCTTACCAATGGTTGTGATCAGTGTTATGCAGTAGTAGATGCTGCCCCACAGGCTCCACGACGGAGGTACGACGGCGTTTCCCAGTTCGTCATTGCCGGCTTTCCAGGCCTGTTTTAATTTATCGCGATACTTGTTCACCTGGACCACTAATTTGGACCAGTCTGCCTTTTCGCCCTCTTCAGCCAACTCCTGCGCCAAAACAAAGATTCTTTGCCGTGCCTAAGAAAACACCGAAGTGAAATTGCAGACGATTTGAAAACAGACCGTTTCTGATGAGAATGCGCTGGGCACACCAAAAATGTTTCTTGTGAAGCAGAATCGATCTACCTGTCTTATAATTCCCGTCTAATGTTCTAGCTCCTGGTGCTCGCAGCAGGAGGTCTTTCAGCCTTGCAAGCTGATCAATGCTACAATGTTTCACGACTGTGAGGGTGAACGTACTCCAAGCATTCTGCTGGACAACTAAGGAAAGTCCCGTATGGCCTAGTGAATTTCTTGTTTGCCATGGTTCACCTTCATAACTAAACGTTTACGTAAAGTGAAAATTGTCAACTGTTTCAAGTGTCTGTCGTGACTAACGCAGCATAGCTTGTTCCGAAGACTTCAGCCCAAGTTCGTACACTACTTTCTAAGACAGTTAAGAAACCCTAAAATAATACTTCCCCTTATGCACCTGATAAGATTGTCTTGCAATAACAGGTAAACATTCGCTCAAACAAAAAATTAGGTCAGAAAGAAGCAAATACTATTTGATTCGCATAATTGACAGGCGTAGCCGCGATAGCTTGGCGGTGAATCACCGAGTTAAAATTCGGGAGTTAACGCTCAGCCTGTCTCAAGGTTAGTGTTTTCTATTTCTCCGAGTCTGTTATAACAAATAAAAAATCAGTAGATCTGGACTGATATGTGGAAATTGTGTCAGATCTTGACTGTCATTCCAGAACAAGACATTTATCCTGCGCGCATGGGATATCCGCAGGGGAATTTCGACAACGTTGTATATTTGGGAACTAATCTCTTTTAAGTCATTTGGTTAATTTTAAGTAAACAATTTCCCGTCCAAATTAAGCTGTGGTATAAAGAAGATCAGAGGCAGCGTACGACAATGTTTCACATTACGATAAAATTAGGAACGCAGAGAGCGAGGTCCTGAGTCGCTACGTCGAGGGGACAGCAAAATCATATTTTTGGGCATTTGATCACACACTGATTTGATGAATAATGCGTGTTGTTTGAAATATCTTCACGGGGCTCTTTGCGAATCAGACTTCGTGAGTTTGAATCTATCAACGGTGATAGTTTCCATAAAGCAACATTGAGAGGTCATCGTGGACTGACTGCCCACCTGTTGGGGGACTGAATGCTTCCGGTAGTTAGCAACTTTTCCAATCATGACAGTTGGTGAGCCATGCCAAGTCAAAGAAGTGTCTTGTTGATCGTACTTTGAAGGTCCCGCTGTGACGACTTCTTTGTTCCTGCCCTTCCCCATGCCCTTGTAGTCAGCCCAACTCGAACAGACTGGAGAGGGTAGTTGGCGTAGTGGCCGTCACTAAAGCCATGTCAAACACCGGCCTGCCCCTGATTTGGCCTGACGCACCAGTGTTGCCCGTTTTGGAGGTACAAACTGGACACCAAACCCGTAGATATACACATACACTGCAAAGTGAAGTCAAACAGATGAGCCCATAACACCATAAAGCCAAGGTTACCGCAGTGTTTCTTTGTCAATCGGTTTTTGTCAGTTGGTGGGTTGAAAAGTTACAGCATCGAAACGAACGGACATCGATCAGACTGGAAACCAAAGTAATCTGGCTCCATCCACTGATGATGGGGCTTGCGAAGAGGACCCCACCTATGTTCTTAGGCTGATTAAATCTAACAAGCGCTACCCAAAGGATTTCGAGGTTACATTACGACGTTATAAGTATCTGCAAGTTATGCTGCAATTTTGCAGTGAAGTGAGAACAACCGTAGACAGCAAACGTACTTGCAAAACGGGCAAAGAAGAAGACGGCGGAATGAGGGGGGAGGTAGAAAACCAAATGCAAAACAAAAAATTAGTCGTAGACGAACAACGAGCAACGTCAAAAGTTAAACCCTGGTCATACTGCCTAAGCAGTATAGAACAGAGGAAGAGGATTAAATCCTGTCCTCTTCCACTTTCTTTAGGCAAGTGTGAATAACCTTATCAAGCATCTAAAACTTGCATGATCAGAAATTCTTATGGATAGCTGGTTTCGAGGTATAGTCTAACATGATGCCGGCACCACTGGAGTGATAAATGAAAACTCGTCCGTCGAACAGGACAGCTGTCACCTTTCTACGGCCGAGTGTTGCTAATGGGCGTGTAAAATGAAGTACACATGGAGAGGAATATACATAGAGGCTACCCGATCTCCCACTGTTTTCCATTTGCAAGATTAAGTCAAAAGGATTGGAGACGGACCTTGACGAAGTTGCAGATCTGACGTAAATTGCCCGTATTCATGTGCCAGAAGTGGGATGGTGTCTCTCTTTCTATCGCCCGTAAGCGAGCTGAACTTTATATGAGAAGTTGTGGCGCTGAAGAGACAAGTTGGATGCTTTCATCTGATTTCACTCACCAACAGGAACAGCGGCGGGTAGTGTCGACTGCGCTGGGCTCAGCTACGCGGGAACACAGACAAGAGCTAAGCGCCTAGTTGGGTCAGAATCACGTGATTGGTTATCACAGCTTACGAAAGCCAGGCCATTAACGCAACTACCCGTCCCCTGGATATCCAAAAGACCCAGAAATTATTAAAACAGAATCTTCACGAATTTGCCGGGGGTCACGATTAATGGTCTTACTATTTGGTGAATTCAGCGTTGTTCACTAATGTAACAGTTTATGATACTACAGTCAATTACGTAGCAAGAGTAACGGATAATGAATCGAACCCGACAGATCTTTGTTTGCTCAAAAATACCATCTAAATATACTGTTGGAATGGGAACAAATTCACAGTTTTATTACGAACGAAGGAAGCTTACATCAGCGGTCGTGTTGTACGGGTAGGTGGCAGGTTATGTACACTTTCGTGTCATTTGTAGAAACTTTAAAATAAGCTGACCAGTCGCAAGTTTTTTACAAGATCCCTCTAAAAATGCTTAAATTACTGTGGCGAAAAATGCCTCATACTCAGTTAGTCTAATTCCAACAGATAGGAGCACAAGTTTGCCCTCCTTCCTTTACGATCACTCGAGATTAATGAGCCGCTCTTGGGTTCCATCATTGACAGGAACATTGCCCACTAATTTAACCAATAACAGTCTAAAGTTTGCTCTGCGAAATACATCCCTCCATCGGAACTAGATATCGTGGTCGGCTATTGTTTCTCAAGCCTGTAACAGTCCAGAACATATAAATTTATAAGAATCACACGCATGTGACAGCTCATTGATCAGATTTCAGAAAGAAGCATATCCTCCTCGCTTTGCAGTTCTGGTTTTGAACACTCGCAGGTAGTTGTCCGGTCACAAGTACTCGTTTGTATAGCAAGAATATCAACAACTAAGAGGAAGACTGGCACGACCATTTCTGGCTTACTTTTTGTCGTCAGCTAATTCTTTTCTCGAGCTAAATCTCATGAATCCCCAACGTGAAGTTAAGGTATGCTATTACTATTTTTCTTGCTAAAACCACTGTTGGTTAAGCCAATTCTAGAGTCTTCTAAATTTCGCGGAGATAAGGCACAGGTGGAGTCCCGATACCGGTTGAGATATGATGGGTTAACTGTGACAACTTGTTCGGAAATGCCATTTCAGCATCCCTCGTATTTGCCCCTCATTTTTCTGCATTATACACTTTGACTAAGTCCGATTTGTTAGGCTTGTCATCTGTAGGACTTGAAGCCAAACTCTCGATACAAGTTACAAATGAAGACGAACCTTTGTCGCTTGTACTCGTGTTTGAACTTCGGCGGGTGCCTCAATTCGAGTGAAGACGAAAGCTCCAAGAAGTGTGAGCGTCACAAGAGAAAGTAGCAAACCAGTTGTGGAGTTGAGAAAACGACCTTTCAAAAGGGGAAAGGAGAAGAGAATTAGAGTAGAGAATGACTGGCTTCCGCTGTAACCTGGATGGCTACATTTTAGATGCGGAACCGCATCACGGCTCGGCGAGACGTTTGAGTCAAAATTAATTTGATGCTCCTCTGTCAGATCCTGGATCAAGTCAGATCGATGAACGAATGGGACAAGAAGGCGAAGAGCGACACCGCAACATTGTCCAGTATTGGCAGTCTTCAGAAATATCTATGTAGTGCGTATATGGATATATTTCACCGAGCCAGCCGACAAGAAAGCCGAGGTCCAGTTTCTGCAGCAATTTTTCACAGTCAACGAGCACCCTGGCAACTTTGTCTATGAGTGCAGACGAGAAGCCCGGGGGAGAAAGGCGAAGGAACAGCCGAAACCGAAATGCTGACGCGTAGTGCCCTACATAACTGGTGCGTCAGCAGAAGTCGGTAGATTTTTGAGTAAATTTGGGAGTGGTGTCGTTCACAGATCAGAAGCAACAATTCGCCGTCAACCTGATTGTTATAAACCGGAAGTCTGTGGTAATTTGCCAGACAGGCTACAACTGTGGTCAGGCCACTTATGTTGGTGGAACCGCCACGAGATTGCACGAGCACGAGCTGGCGGTGAGACGGAAGGATAAACTCTCCTAAGTAGCCGCCCACGCCTCCTCGCCAGGGAACGGCTTTGACCTCGAGCGCGTGAGAATATTGGGCCTGTTGGACGACCGAGTTTAGCGCCTGCTGCAGGAAGCGTGGAACTCGACAGAGAACTCGAAAAATCGACATATCGACCTGCCAGTCGCTTATCAAGCATTGCGTAAACAAATCAGTAGCGCAGTTGGAAGTCATTCTCATCAGAGTTGAAGTAGATATGAGATGAGTTGTACGGTCATTCATTTCCTTACGATAGGCTTACGTGGGAGTTAAAGACGTCAGATAAATAAACAGCTGATCCCAGCGATTGTCTTCACGTCTTCTTTCATTTTATTGCCCGGGCAGCGCGTATTTTCTACTATTTGAAGTATATATATATATCCTCACGGAGAATTCCCCAACTTAGAGAACTGTTCGAAGTAGAGCTCTTCTGTTAGGCCTCGATTTATAATACCATTAGTACATGTAAAAAACCCTGGCATACAGCAACACATTATATGGTGATTGTGCCCCCAAAACGGGCCACGTGGTAAATGCATTGGATCAACCCGGGGGCCTTATTGGACTCTGGCAGGCGTTATCGGTTTTGCGTACCGTAACAAATGCCGACATTTTCGGGGTGCGTTGACGAACCCGGTTGCCGACGTACGTCGTGCACACTGAGACCCCGCAACCACCCCATTTTTGTGGTTAATAAAAAATCTGGTTCTTTGTTGTGTGGGCCGGGGGGTGTGGAGTGGAACGCCAAGGCGCGGGCTCGACCGCGCCATCTACCTGCGCCCTCCCTCGCCTCCGGTCTTCTTGACTCTGTCGTGACACCGGGTCCAGGTGGGGGAGAAGGAGAGTGCAGTAGATGCTATAGAAGTCTGCTATCACTATAAACTAGATTGTCGCACAAGTCACCGTCCCTGCTCTCACCCTGCTGTGCAGCATACGGTGGACATCGTCGAAACCGACGGTCGAACTAACATATGGCGATTGCAGATAACTTCAATTTAGTTTTCAGAGAAACTACGACCGGGGCCTCGAATTTAACAATTGCTTACTTGTTTCCCATGAGATTTGCCAGGGTCATCAAAAAGAGGAACAAGTAAATTATGATCGAATGCCGTATCCTGCTCTCATTCCGTTCCAAACCTACAAGGCCATCAACATCTTCGCCTCAATGCCTCTAGCTTTATCGTTGGAAGGTTAGTTTGTGGCGCAATGATGTAGTAAGTGAATATTTAGGAAGAAGTATTTCCCTGAATTACTGACGCCATGGTACAAGTCAAATATTTAGGCTCAGTCGAAATTGTTTAAATCACACGCCCGCCATATGCTATTCACATCGTTAAACTGTATCGGTCTGCCGTTCGTCTGTAGGACTGACTTATATGGCCCCCCTAAACAGGACATGAAAACGGGAATCGCCTGCGATACGGGTGGTTCTGAGCCAACACACAGCGAAATTGGGATCAGGTGTAAGGTTAGGGTTGGGGTTAAGTTGGGAAGTAGACTCAAGTCTAAATCTGGAGTTGACAGTAAGGCAAGTCAGTATCAAGTTGAGGGCTTAGCTAGGGGCTGGCGTTAACTGCAGAGTTAAGGTTTCGGGCAGGATTGGGACCAAGACTAGAATAACGGTTTAATTTTACATTGGGGTTATTGTAGGGACTAGGACATGGGAATGTTCCACCCTTCCCGGAATTATACGCAGGATCACTTTTACTACTTTGGCGGGGCGTTCCCATACCCTACCCGTTCCCAGTCATACCCGTTCGTCTTTCAAGATCCTGGGGACAGTCTTGGGGAACAAGTAACGTACTTTTGAACCTCGACTTTCTTTCAAGTCTACAAAATAGGCTTCTTCAGTTTGTTCAGTGCACAATTTTGTAGGCCTGTGGGGTCTAAGGCAGTGCGCATACACTAAGTACAAGGGTCAGGTTCAGATTGGCAAAATAAAATTGGGGACAACAAGAGGATGGCTTTATTATGATAGGGCTCCTTAGACAATTACACAGCTAGACCGAAATCTGCGGTGGTTGTCACCTGAGTCCCACTGGAGCAGAGGCCAAGTACGTGCAGAAGCACGTACGAAGTACGCACGTGCTCACTATGCCAGAGCATGCCAGACTTTCGGCGGGCACTTAGGACTACATTCTTGTCTTGCAGTTACTGTTTAACCGCGAAAAAGAGCAATGAATGCTTCCCCAGAAACGCGTGCCACAACTGCGTGAAATGTGATTAGCAATACTGTTGGTGTGTGTTTACTGTTCTTGGACATTGGTTCACTTTCGGGCCATCGCTGATCTATACGTCCGGATAACACCTGAAGCTATTGTTTCACTGCGCTTCCGTGCAACTTTGTCATTACTAAGCTCGGCGATTGTTCCTTGAGCGTTTTTAGACTATACTGAAAATTGTATCACAGTATCGCAAACGTGTCCAGTCGCAGCGATTTGGGACCAGGAAATGGCTCGAAATGACCAAATTAGTCAGATTTCCTAAACACAAAACACAAAACACTGTATGATTACATGCCTGCTACAACGCGGTCTAACCGCTCTGCTCCTTCGGAATTTTAATACTTTGTTGCGAGCCTCACACGCAGGCGTTTATACTGATAATTTTTTAGGAAAGGTAGCAAATTTTCAGAACCACCGACAATTGGACGTGTGAACGAACACTAATGATTAAGTTGAAGTCTCTTTCTGGTAGGCATATATGCTTACCCTTATTGTGCCAGAGATCGAAATCCGGCAATTTTCACTTGTTCTGTCTCTTTTCGAACCGAAATTTATTTTTGACGCCACGGATTTAGGCAAAGATACATGTCATATCTACTCCGATACTGTCTAACATAGGTCTCCGGTTTAAAAAACAACAAATTCTCTCATAAGACGGAATGTCTGTGCAACCGTTTAAGTGTGTATAAGGGCACATGGGTGGGTATACATCTAATTAAATGAAATCGCTAGCATATATAACTTGCCTACTGGTCGCATTTTCCCTCTGAAGTTGGGCCCTGCTGCCTCCTAATGCAGGTGTGCGACCATTCCCCAGACTAGCCGTCGGACAGGCCTGTGTATTGATCAAGCGGATCGATTTCCTGATTGGTTGGTCGACATCATCGGGACTGGGGCAAACCAATCGGAATCCGCGTCAAACACACGCGCGTCTATCGTACATAGGGCTAGCTGCATCTTCACCGCTTCCTTTGCTGCACATGATATTCTCGCTTTAACCCGGAGGCAATCGTGGAAGGGTGACTGTGATTCGCCGATCCGATGCGATTTGCCTTACGAGGAAGTACTGGACTATAAAAATAAGCAACAGACTAGTGCAAATCCTAAGCACGTCGTTTTAACAGACAGGCATCTAAAAAAACCTCGAGGGCATACAGTTGGATCGGATAAAATAGCAATTTGCTGACCATGTATTGGTTCAGTTATTGTTGCCTCTGAACCTGAAATGGTTCGTCTCAATTTATTTACGCGCTTTCTGAGTGAACATGCAGAGCTGCAGACTTTCTTGGCTTTTTGCTAGCAGTATCAGGTGCTCGAAAAAAATAATGCATTTTTGCAGCTTACATGATCAAACTTTACTTGCCTAGTGCTTGATACGCCAGGGGCTATTCTTTCGTTTTATATTTTGTAGATTGATGGTCTGGCTAACAAGATGAATATGATTGAAGTATTCTGCAAAGCACAAATTTTGCAGGCATCAAAACCTATGTGAGAGCGATGCATAAAAATCCAAACGTCTCCCTAAACCTTCCGACCCTTTTGGACTGCGCCAGAAGTAACTAGAAGAATATTCTCCATCTGTAAAGCTCGAATCATGTTTTATTGATGACAGTAAGGGTTAACTAATTATGACCGAAGCGACCTTTCTAAATTTTTGACGGAATGCCCTGAACATTCAAGCTAAAAACGCTTAATTTCCAGATTAGAAATCTGCGTCTTAATTGGAAGGCAACAAATTCGAACGATTCGAATTTCCACTTCCTCAGCATTTCTAACAATGCGCGGTTCCTGGGTACAGTAAGAATGCTCTATTTGTACCAGCTCTAGGGTGCCGAGACCATAAGAAAACATCATTGACTGCGAGGCCTGAAATTTTGCCCAAACTTGGTGTACAAGCTGAGAATGAAGTCATCGTGCCTGACTTGGGAATCCGCGTGTTTACATCTCCAAATTAGCAGTTATATCTGTTTGATACATGGCTTCGCTTTACAATACTCTCAACGCAGATACAAGGTAAAAGTACAAGCATGCATTTTACTATACCATGTAGTTTTTTTAACGTCAGAATGTTTCTTTCCTTGTATCGGCCTCCGTTCGCCGATTTTGCACGAGTTTTTCGTCCCAACTTAGAAGCGAAAAACTGCGATATACATTCGTTAACTTAAAAATGACACTTCCCGAGTTCTCTGTGAATACATATAGATATACTTGCGGGCAGAATAACTACTGATAATGCCAAGGGAAGCTGCGAAGGCCATTCTTGGCCTTTGGTTGCAACCAGCCAGCCGATACCTCCAACCTCAGGTACATTCCCGCCACCAAACCCGCAGATGTAATCTTCGCATGACATACTTCAATGTTTTCCTGACAAGAATGCTTTGTTCATACGGGGAAATACTTTTGAGCCATCTGTACAGAGAGACTAGTGGAAAGTTCGATTTTTATGCTCCATGACGAACGGTTCAGCGAAGTACATATGTAAGTTTTTATGGTCAGTATATTTGGTTCTAACAGCGGATTCCTGTAGGGAGGAAAAATCAAAGCATATTTTAGCAACCGAAAGCCTGGTTGCACTTTGACCAACAGCGCTGGTGCTACTTGATTGTTTGTGCTAAATGTTGTGTTTTTTCGGCAACGGCAGGTTTTAGGACCCCAAGCATCTGTTGCACACAACAAATGCCTACTATACTTATTTAAGTAGGTCGTCGGTTGTTGGACACTGCTCTGGACATGGAGTTTACTTTCGGTTCGGCCCTTTCGCCTTTGTTTGTTTACGGCCGTTGAGCTACCTCGTAGCGCACATTTTCCTTGCGGATTGCAATAACTTATTATTTTAACCTTTTCGGCCTTTTGAAGGCGTTGCCCTTTAAGTTTGCCACTACCGCATATGAGCTAAGGCTAGAGAGTTGAGAAACGGTCGTATTTCTTCCGTTTTCTATCGTAGACGTTACTCTCCAGCTTGCCACTGCCTGCCATGACATAATCTCAGAGAGTTGAGAAGCGATCGTATTGTTTCGATCGTCCGTCATAGACATTAGGATTCAATTTACCATTACTTTTCATGACCCCAGTTCAGAGTAAGGAGCAGTCGTATTGTTTCGGTCATCCATCGCAGACGTTACTTTAGGATATAGAAACGAGAAAACGATCGTTCTGTTGCAGTCCCAGTGTCTTTGGTATTACAAGACGGCTGGCCTGAAATAACTTTATCCAAGGAAAATTACTTACAAAGTTGTTTATTTTGCTGCGGATGTTATCCATTATATTAGATAGGTTTCCGCTACGTGAGACAAGAAGACTTCTATGCTTCCTTCAGTCCCATGGCATTTAGGCCAAGCCATAGCGAAACTAATAATGAGGGTCCAGTCAACTTGCATTTCTATTCCTGGTCCGCCGATCTGCTTGGTTTCCTTCATGAGGGCTGCGGAGCATACATTTCTACAGGGTGCATACCACT